GTTGTGTAAGACTTATAAGTTGAAAATTCAAATTTATGTTAAGTGGTGAAGACTATATTGTTTAAAGTTTGTAAGTTTGGTATTGTACTTTGGAGTAATTGAAATAAAGTTTGATTGTTTATATGAGATATCAAATTAATTTAGTCTCTACTATCAGTAATACCCTTTAAAATATTTGGGTGTTACAGATTGATCATTCTTAAGGATAGCATCTGCTGGAAACATATGAGCATCACATTGATTTTAATTGAATTAAGGCATCTGCACATCTTGACTGAGATCTTTATGCTGAATTGATAAAAGTGATTTCTTGTCTTAGAAGGAAAAGTTTTGAAAAATGTTGAGTCATTGTAGTGATTGTTCTGAAGAGTTGAGTTACATTTTGTTTTGCTTGAGGACAAGCAAAGTTCTAAGTTTGGGGTTGTGTTAACGGTTGAAAATATCGTTATTTGTGATGTAATTTTGATACTAAATACACCCTTTTTCACTTAGAAACTTGCTTGAACTCATGCTTTTTCATTAACTTGTGTGAATAAGAGAGTTGAGGTTGAATTTGATAATTTTATAACTAATATCCCTTGTTTTGATAGGTAATGAGAGAATGCGAAAAGCAGAGATGAAGTGCTAAGGAATTATAGCTCAGAAAGGCTTGAAAAACCACCTAAAGGAGGAACCGCATGAAGCTTGGGCGCCCTGTCCACCGCCCGGGCGCCCTAAATGGGGCGCCCGAGCGTCATGCGTCGCAGATCCGGCCCAGTTATTGCTCTGTTACGACTCTTTTGGACCGAGCCCTATTTTTACTCTTTTCCAACTTTACTTAAAGGACCCAGGCGCTCTAGGTTTTGTATCTCTGGCTGGAGCAACACAACAACACACTCTTCTACTCCCTCAAGGCGGATCTGGAGGCGCGAGCTTCCTCTTATACTCTTAGGGTTTCACTATCTCATGCTTTTCCATTATTCATATAGTTTCTCCATGTCTATGGGGAACTAAACTCTATTTGTTGTTGGAGAATGATGTAACCTTGTGAACTCTCATGTATTTGAATTGATTCTTAATTTATACGCTTTTTCATTAATTATTAGGGAACTCATCTGTTTCAATGCTTGCTCTATTTAACTCATTTAGTAGCATGATTTATGAATTGCATGAGTGTCAGGAGGTTCCTTACAATTCAGGTTCTTGTTGAATTCCCCCAAGGATAATATTTCTCAGGGATGAGGGTATGAGTACTTGGTCGTCTTAAGCTCTTGGTCTTCAGACTTAATTTTCTAGAACGCTAGGAATTGCATGAACTAGGAATTAAGGCATGCTTATTGCGCTGAGGGATCGAGTTCTAAGTAATTTAGTGAGTGACGTTAACATTAATGTAAAAAAGAAGAATTCTTATATACATGAGAGTAAACTTGGTGAAATCAAACCCTAACAACATATTCATCTCATATTAAACAAAATTCGTTCATCTCTTTGTTACTCTACTATTGATCAATTTGCATTCATATTTAATTTTATGTTTTTGCATTTGAAACCAACAATCTCGTTATATTTAAGTCTTAATTAATCGAGTCATCACACAACTGTTTAGTGTCGAGAGTCTTCTGAGATACGATACTTGGTCTTATCATTTTATATTACTTGTGTGATTCGGTACACATGCCGATTCATCAACAAGATTTTGGCGCCGTTTGTCGGAGACTCACGGTTTAAACTATTCTATTTGTGTGATTCTTGATTAACTTTGACTTTATTTTTATTTTTATTCTATTTTAATTTTTGTGTTTTGTTTTGTTTATTTTTATTATTTTTGTGCTAATAGTGTTTTCTAGGGTTTTATGTTTAGTTTATGCAGGATACAATTAGAACAAGGAGCAATAGAAGTGTTGAACCTCTTCTTGAAATACTTGAGACTAGTAGGAGGCCAAGAAGAAGCAAATTGTCTAGAGAACCTTCTCTAGAGAGAATTTCACAGGCCTTACAATCTGATCAGGAAAGCATGGACAACAATGGTGCTAGGCGTACTTTGGCAGATTATGCAACAATGGTTGGCCCTCATCATTTTAACAGCATTGCAAAGCCGAGGGTCAATGTCGCATGGAGATGAAGCCTGCGTTGATCCATCTAGTGAAGAGAAACCAATTCAATGGATTGTCAAATGAAAGTCCATGTGAGCATCTGACAACTTTTAATGAGATCTGTAATACTGTAAAGCTTAATGGAGTGCCTGATGATGCCATTAGACTGAGCTTGTTTCCTTTCTCATTGGGAGGCAATACTAAACTGTGGTTGAATTCTTTTCCTGAGAATAGTTTTACTGAGTGGGAAGACATGGTTGCAAAATTCTTGAATAAATACTTCCCACAATCAAATATCAACAAAGGGAAGCAAGAAATCTCTTCTTTCAGACAAGGCATGGAGGAGACATTAGGGCAAGCATGGGATAAATACAAGGGCTTGCTGAGAAAGACACCTACTCATGGTTTTGATGAAGCAACAGTAGTCATTCGTTTCCCTGGAGGTCTTGACTCACAGACCAAATTGATGTTAGATGCCTCAGCTGGAGGCAATATCATGTGCAAGACTCCAGAGGAAGCCTATGAATTAATTGAAAACATGGCTACTAGTGACAATGAGATACACAATGAAAGAGGAACTTCATCTCAACCTAAGGAAGTGTTACAATTATAGTCTTATGATGCCTTTCTTGCTCAGAACAAGATTACAACTCAACAATTAGAGTTGTTGACAAAAAAGCTTTCTCAGCCACCAAAGGAGTGTCGGAATGTCTCACAAGTTCAACAGAAACTTTGTGAACAATGTGGTGGTGATCATATCAATGGTCAATGTGTTGTGCCTGAGAATATAAATGAAGAAGTTAGCTACATGGGCAACCAATTTCGTCCCAATAATTATAATCAAGGGTGGAAATCTCATCCTAGCAATGGACAAAGTCAGTTTGGGCAAACTGGTGGGCAGTTCAATAGAACACCACAACAGCAACAACAACAGTGGCAACAACAACCCTCCCTATCTGACAAAACTACAAAGCTTGAGGAGACTCTCCAATAATTCATAAAGGCCAATCTTTCCACTCAGAAAAGCACTGAAGCTGCTATAAGAAATCTGGAGATGCAGGTTGGTCAAATGGCAAAGAAGTTGGAAGACATGCCTATCAGAAGTTTTGGGGCTAATACTGAAGTTAACCCCAAAGAAGAATGTAAGGCTATTGTGAGTATGAAAGATGAGAGAGAGAAAGAAAAAGAAAATTTGAGTGAGAAAGAAAAAGAAGAGAGTGAGAGAAAAGAAAAAGATGAGAAAAATTAGAGAGAAAAGAAAAAGAAAATTTGAGTGAGAAAGAAAAAAGATAGGAGATTGAGAGGAAGAAAAATGAAGAGGTTGAGAGAGAAAAAGAAAAATTAGAGAAAAAGCTCAATCACCCTAAAGAATGCCCCAGAAAAGAAAAAGAAAAACAATTAGGGTACTTTGAGGAAATTTCTAGAGAATTGGGGATTATAATTCCTATGACTGAAGCATTGCAACAAATTCTTGAAAATGCTGAGTTTTTGAAGAAACTCCTCAAAAGAAAAGAATATTTAAAAGAGGAGACAATGGAGGTACAGGAAGAGTGCAGTGTGATCTTACAAAAGAGATTTCCTCCTAAGGTTGAAGATCCAGGAAGTTTCACCATTCCCCGTACTGTTGGGAATCATAAAATAGGGAACCTAATCAATTTAGGGTCCAGTATTAATTTGATGCCCTTATTTGTTCTGGAAATGATTGGTGGTCTTGAAGTCAAACCTGCAAGGATAAATCTGCTTATGGCTGATGGATCCACTAAAAAGCCCTATGGTATGGTGGAAGATTTAATGATTCAAATTGAAAATCTCAGATTCCTGGTAGATTTATTGATAATGGAGATGGGGGAAAATTTGGAGATCCCTAGTATTCTTGGAAGGCCATTCATGAAAACGGCCAATGTAATCATTATTGTTGATGATGGAACTATAACACTTAAAGACCAAGAAGAGGAGGTGATTTTCAATGTCTTCAATGCTGAGCAGCCAATCCAGGTGAAGAAGACTAGTGTCAGGACTTCAAGTGGAGGTACACCAAAGACCAGTACAAAAGCTGCTAAACCAGGTAAAAAAGGTAAAAAGGGTTTTCTGTCACAGGTTAAGGAAGAAGAAAAGGACAACAAAGGATCAGGTGTTCACCTAGATTCACTAGAGGAACATGAAGGACTGAGACCAGGGATACTAGTGAGATTCAACAAAAAGCTTTGGGTTGTGAAAGAACTCAGAGCTGATGGACTAATAGAGATTGAATCTCCAATTTAAAGGAGAACTAAAACGGTGAACAGGAAGCTGCTGAAGATCAATTGGTGTGGAGAAGGAAAAGATGACACAAGATCAAAGATGTGACATGAGCTTTGGGTCAAGCTAGTGACGTTAAAGAAGCGCTTGATGGGTGGCAACCCAGTGTTTTACAACCTTTTATTGTGTTAGTTTTTGTTTGTGTGTGATTTCAATATGCTTAGTCTGAATGTTTGACGGGTGAAAAGAGATGAATTGATTGAATTAAGAGTTGTTGTGAGGACTAGGGAAAAGAAACTGAAAAATTCTAAGTTGAATCTGAGAACTCAAGGCCAGGACCACCCAAAACAAGCTAAAAAGCAAAGAGGAAAAGTGTCGCCCACCGCTTGAGCGCCCTCTAAGGGGCACCCGAGCGGCGCGACTGTAGACTTGGTTTTTAAGTTTGGGCTTGAGCAGGATTTCGGCCCACTTCATTCTTTTTACACTCTAGGGCTCGTCCAAGCCCCCTCAATCAAATTCTCCTCACTCTAGCCTCCCTAAACACCTCTCCCAAGTCCTCTCTTCATGCAACAAATGACGAAAATACCAAGAAAAGAGACTAAACTCAACTCACAAATAGAGAAACTAATTAGTCCAAATTGAAGAACTTGCCATAAGGATCAATCCTACGATCTTGGTTTTTCAATCAAACGAAAAGAGATGAAGACCTGTTAGAAAGAAGTTAAAGAACTCTAAAATAGTTATTTCTAGAGAGATTATATATCTTAAAATAATGAAACTAGTTTATAACAAAATTATTTATATTAAAAATTTCTAATATGAAAATAATCAATTTTCACTAATTTTAAATCATCGTGATTTCTAAAATGTCATTAGTAGATTTTTACTTGATTGATTATGATCTTAGTATTAGTATTATGATGACATCATAATCCATTATAACTTTTATTTTACATTCATATAATACATCTAAAAATTAAAAAAGCTCAACCATCTTTCAAGAGGTCATTTAATATAGCAATGTCCAAATCTTAATATTTATGACAAGCATTATTAAAACTTAAAAAAATTCATACTTGTGTAAGAGATGAAGCTTGTAAGGACTTAAATGAACTCACGCAATCTCATAATAGAAGGCACATTAAACAAGTTAATAAGTGACAATTCTTTTAAGAAAATAAAGTTGGTGACAAGATGTTTAAATTTCATAATTATAATGTAACATTTATTAAAATGAAAAAAATAAAAATAAAAATTAAACCAAAATTATCCTACAGTAGTCTTCTGTAAATAGATTTGATTATCAATAAGAATTGCATTTATAATTTCTAAACTAATTATTTTCCAATTGACGTTTATTTATAATCAGGACATGGCGATGACCATATATATATATATATATATAAAAGAATGAGAGATATTTTGTTTTAAAATACATATTTTTTATGTGTTATTATATCTTCTGAGTATACAAAACAACATTTCAAGATACCTATAAGTGAAAAACAAATGCAATTAGCTTTTCTTATTTGAGAGACAAACGAACTTCCTCTAAGGAACCCTAAAACCCTTCAAAGTTACATGATATCCTATTTACACCTAAGAACAACACAAACATTATCAAAACACAGTATTAGAACCACTGATCAACAAGGACTCGTATAAATGACTAAAAAGACATGCAAGTGAAAGAATACTCACATGCAACAAATGACGAAAATACTAAGAAAAGAGACTAAACTCAACTCACAAATAGTGAAACTGATTAGTCCAAATTGAAGAACTTGCCATAAGGATCAATCCTACGATCTTGGTTTTTCAATCAAACGAACAAAGATGAAGACCTATTAGAAAGAAGTTAAAGAACTCTAAAATAGTTATTTCTAGAGAGATTATATATCTTAAAATAATGAAACTAGTTTATAACAAAATTATTTATATTAAAAATTTCTAATATGAAAATAATCAATTTTCACTATTTTTAAATCATCGTGATTTCTAAAATGTCATTTGTAGATTTTTACTTGATTGATTATGATCTTAGTATTAGTATTATGATGACATCATAATCCATTATAACTTTTATTTTACATTCATATAATACATCTAAAAATTAAAAAAGCTCAACCATCTTTCAAGAGGTCATTTAATATAGCAATGTCCAAATCTTAATATTTATGACAAGCATTATTAAAACTTAAATAAATTCATACTTGTGTAAGAGATGAAACTTGTAAGGACTTAAATGAACTCGTCAATCTCATAATAGAAGAAACAACAGCTCATTAAACAAGTTAATAAGTGACAATTTTCTTATGAAAATAAAGTTAATAGCAAGATGTTTAAATTTGATAATTATGTTGTAACATTTATTAGAATGAAAAAAATAAAATAAAAAATTAAACCAAAAATATCCTACACTAGTCTTTTGTAAATAGATTTGATTATCAATAAGAAGTGCATCTATAATTTCTAAACTAATTATTTTCCAATTGACGTTTATTTATAATAAGGGAACATAGTGATATATATATATGTGTATATATGTATATATATATGTGTATATATATATGTATATATATGTGTATATATATATGTATATATATGTGTATATATATATGTATATATATGTGTATATGTATATGTATATATATGTGTATATGTATATGTATATATATGTGTATATGTATATGTATATATATGTGTATATGTATATGTATATATATGTGTATATGTATATGTATATATATGTGTATATGTATATGTATATATATGTGTATATGTATATGTATGTATATGTGTATATGTATGTGTATGTATATGTGTATATGTATGTGTGTGTATACGTATGTGTACGTATATGTATGTATACGTATGTATATATGTATGTATACATATGTATATATGTATGTATACATATGTATATATGTATGTATACATATGTATATATGTATATATACATATGTATATATATATATATATATATATAAATAAAGAATGAGATATATTTTGTTTTAAAATATATATTTTTTTTGTGTTATTATATCTTCTGAGTATTATTATAAGTTTTTTTTTCATAATCCTAAAATTATAACACATTAGCAATTGACCATTTTTTATAATTTAGTCTGATTCATTGTTCTTTTATTTTTTTTAAAGAAACATAGAGGTAACAAGTGTATTTCTTTCCTGGTAATAATAATAATAATAATATGTTATTATTATGTTTGAAAAATAAAATTTTATTTCATAATATTAATATAACATTGATTTTATTTAACGGTTATTAAAAGATATCAAATAAGGATGATTTTTTTTGTACCTAACAGTTGTATAACATTCGACACGTGTGAACTTTTATAAAATAAAGAAATTACAGTAGGAGAAATAAAAGAAAAATTACTTAAATATTGCAGAAAAAACTTTTTCATAAATCACCTCCAACAATTAGTGTCAATGAATGGCCATCTTGTGTTGTAGACAATACTCGAAGATTGTGACTTTAGCTGTTATTTTTCTTTTATTCTGACTGTTAAAAGTGTTAGTAGAAGAATTTATTTTATAGTAAATATGTTCTCTATTGTATATTATCATAACATTTTGGAAAAACATAATTCTTTTGTAAATCTTGGCTGATGAAACCATGATATGTGAGAAGTTGGAATGAAATAATAATTGATGAGGATAAGAGCAACGATTGAAATGACACACTGAAACAGGTATACACAGTTAAACCAATGCTTTCCTCTTTTACTCAAACCAATTTATGTCCAACTGTTTTAGTTTTGTAAGCCACTTTTGTGTGTCTTGAGAAATACATGGTGTCTTCATCTCACCATCTGCATGATCACTCTTCGTATCCTTAACAAGGTTCTCATGTCTGTTCCTTTGTCTTACCTTCAACGACAGAAGCCGAGAAACCTCGTGTAGTCCACCCCACTTTTCCAGTGCACGCGCAATATCGTACCGCCCTGTTCCAAATTTCATGTCTACCAAGTCAATTTTGTATCTTTTATAAGAAAGCTGTATTTTGTTGCAGACAGAAACTCAAAATTCAGAACAACAACATCTGAACCTACCTGCACGTTCAAATGACTTTCTACTGGGCATAAATGAAGGGTCTATTCCCCAGCTCCTTTGAAACCTACTTATCTGCATCAACATGTCAATAACGTCATTTATGTATCAATTTTCTTACACTGAAGATTTTATTGTGAAATCATTAGCATTTCTACTGCGGGGTAAACAAGTGCAATGTGATACAGAGTGAACAAGGAAATGAATGTATTTGAGATAGGAACGAGCTTTTGCTGCCTACCTCTTCCTGTAAATTTTCAAGATTGTCCCAGTAACCCTTTGGTTTGCGGTGTTTGTAAGCCAAAGAAAGGTTCAATACGGTTGCAACCTTTCTGAATCCACCCATGCGAGTTATAGCCTTCTCAATATCCACTCTTCCATTTAAACGAAGTTGCTNTTCATTGTTCTTTTATTTTTTTTAAAGAAACATAGAGGTAACAAGTGTATTTCTTTCCTGGTAATAATAATAATAATAATATGTTATTATTATGTTTGAAAAATAAAATTTTATTTCATAATATTAATATAACATTGATTTTATTTAACGGTTATTAAAAGATATCAAATAAGGATGATTTTTTTTGTACCTAACAGTTGTATAACATTCGACACGTGTGAACTTTTATAAAATAAAGAAATTACAGTAGGAGAAATAAAAGAAAAATTACTTAAATATTGCAGAAAAAACTTTTTCATAAATCACCTCCAACAATTAGTGTCAATGAATGGCCATCTTGTGTTGTAGACAATACTCGAAGATTGTGACTTTAGCTGTTATTTTTCTTTTATTCTGACTGTTAAAAGTGTTAGTAGAAGAATTTATTTTATAGTAAATATGTTCTCTATTGTATATTATCATAACATTTTGGAAAAACATAATTCTTTTGTAAATCTTGGCTGATGAAACCATGATATGTGAGAAGTTGGAATGAAATAATAATTGATGA